TACAGGCTAGATCAAATTGTCACAAATGCTTTTACAATTACTGTAAAAGTTATAGCAGTTAAATTAAGTATAAGAGACAGTTTCTGATTGCATATTTACACCATATCACTGACAGAAACAGTATTATACAGCCACATTTTCAATATTAGAGTACAAATGAGGAAGGTGCACAATAGGTTCTATTGGCGACTGGCCGAGATCAATAGTGAATTTGTTGGGAAAGGTCATATGGAACGCGCTTGATACGAGCTGAGATCCAGACAGTCATGTACATTGGGTGCATGTTCCCTAGAGTTGCCAAGGATTTCCCACCGTGAATGGGGTTCTGAAAAGGAGAAGAGAGAGAGGAAAAGGCAGCAGTGTGGCAAGTGTATACATATAACCAAAGCACTACTTAACCTGTCATGTTAAAGTAGTCAATACAGTAGTAAGTCAAGATAAAATTCATACTGACCACTTAAACTAAAGTAAATTATGGGAATATAAGAATATAACACACAGATAAAGGAGTACAGCAAAAAGAAGGGAGAGTTGTGCAGTGTCAGGTGGATAGAAGAGAAGTCGAAGTAAGAAGCTGGATTTATGTACGTTGAAATCTAAATTCTAGTTAAAAGAGTAGAGTTTGTAAAAATAAATATTTGACGAATAAAATCTCGCACTGTCTAACTGTTTTTTTTTCTTTATTATTGAATGCCAACCTCTAAGTCATACTGTAAGCGCCTGAGTAAGAATGTTGCAGGTGTCTCGACAGAATAGCGACCTCAGCATAGTTTTGGAAACATGAACCACAGAAGTAGCAAGCTTATAAGAGCAACCTCAGTGTTACTGATTAGTCGTCTCATCAATCTAAAGAGCCGAAAGCAAACAAAATGTTAATAAAGACACTTTCTCCTAGAATTTTTGCTTTATCGGGACCTGGGACTGAGAGAAACGAGTTCAGGAGTGCATCTATTGGAACCCATTGGAACGGCCACCGTAGAAATCCATTTACATTGCAGTTCACCACCGCTTCTAGTAATGTCTTGATGAGTTAGCTCGTTACTAAGTTTAAATCTATACGGAATGGTTTTACCTTGGAGAGGGTTATCCATATACGAGTGCCAGTTGTTATGGCCTTTTCTAAATTTGGGGGTCATGTTAACCAGCTGGTTTGGTAGAGCAGGTTACATAAAGTTTTCATTCTCAGCGTTTTTGCGAATAAAAGCCCGGGTATTTAGGATAGGGTGAGGGGTGAAAAATCTTCCATTCCCATTTTCACTAATAATTCTAGGATTAGGTGGTTGGGTAGTGTACGTAGCTATTGGATAATAATTATTTGTGCGCATGATCAGATGTTGGTCTGACATGTTCTTAATGTTACCAGTCTTATAACTTGGAGAGGCTAGGGGCACATCACATGACATTAAAGGAGTGAACCTGTTCATCGTAGTTAGGAAAGTCGGTGGCAATCGGGTTTTGAATCCTACCTATTTTCTTACTTGAGACCCAAGATTTAATCAGTGCACTCTTCTTAGTTAGAGACGAAGAATGTTTTGGTCCCTTGGACGTGTTTTTGAAAAACGCGTCAGTTTCTACCATATTCTCTCGTGCAATATATTTTGAGGATGGATTCTTAATTTTATTAGTTTTAGCTGGAACTGTGTTGTTTTTTGGGACATATTCAGTCAAGTTAACGTTCGAACAGCTGGGATTAGAAATGCAAGGGTCGTTCGATTTCTTGGTGACAGAGAGGATCCGTACTTTGTTAGAAGGTTTACAGTCCACAGGCTCATCACGATCTACATTGTGGTTTATTTGTTTATTTACTTTCATGACATTGAGGGTTGTTTTCTGTAGATTGTCCGCTGTAACACCGTTCTGTGATCTAGTCGCCTCTTTTGTTTTTACACGACGTTGACAAGGCGTTAGATCCGGGGTAACCTTTACTTCTTTGTGTAAGGTTGATGAGCTGATATTTTTGGTCAAACGGATAAATTGTTTGGCGTCGTTGCAGCAGCCGAATTTGAAAAGGAGAGGGCAAGTTGATTTGTCCGATTTTTTTCTGAGGCGAGTGACGTGACAGCTGACGTTTGCCATATCACACGCTTTTAGACAGGTATCCTTTAGCGAATTCAAGGATGTGCGGTCGGGGAGGTTATATGCAATCGCATTGCAGGAAGACATTATTCTTTTCGTAACTTCCTCAACTACAAAATCTAGGATATATTCCGTTTTGGCTAATTCTTCTAGGTTCCTATCATTATTCGGGGCCCATAGGTGCATGAGGGGTGCTAACAGGTTAAGCTTATCGTTAATTTGGGCAAGTGAGTTTTCAAACTGTCGTATCTCGCTGCCGTGGTTATTACTACTATTAACGGTTTCGGATGGAGCATTCAACTCCTTGGTTTGTGAATTTCCAGATTTAGGATTTACAAGAATATGCTGAAGTTTTTTTTGTGTAGACGTTTCGGTATATTTGGGTAAAGTATCTCTTATATCTACGAGTTTCACTATTGGAATACTTAGTGAAGATTCATCTGACATAGGGTTTGCAGACTTTGATCTTTCGGGTGGTTTAAAAGTTGGAGACATTTCTCTTTTACTCGAATCCCTGTCATCATCAAAGAAGAGGATCTACTGAAGATTGCCGCTCAATATGAAGCACCTATTTAGACTCAGGCCATGCTCTAGTGCGAGCGAGTATTTGTTTGTGTCTTACTGGACGCAAGGAAAATATCGCAAGGAAACCTGTTAAACTCTACTTAATGATTATGAAGAAGAGAATATACTTCAGGAACAAATAGAAAAACAGTTAGGCAACGATGTACGTGATCTCCATTCGGAGGCAGCCTGGAACGATATTAAAAAAGCTGTGGAACCAGCAGTGATATCTTCTAGTGATTTAAACCATACGGTTGGGGAGAAACCGTGGATTTCAGTAACGTCTACTAAACAGGTGGATGCTCGGAGATTCATCCAACCTGGCTCAGATTCATCTTATAATCAGGCTGATAAGTGGCCTACGTTGCTGCATAGATCACATCTTCACACTACGGCAGGTCCTGGAACAAAGACACACAATTAGAGGCCTCACAACAGTAGTATTTTTCGACATTGAGGCGGCATCCGACTCTGTCGATCGCGAGGTTATCTGGCAGTGTCTGTCATTAGGAGGTGTGTCAAAGAAGTACATTAGCCTTAGACACAACTGGTCGAGTTAGAGCTTATAGCGAATTTTCTGTCCCCTTTATTTACAATTATCACCTTATGTCTATTTGAACTTTTATTTAATTGACCTTATAATAATCGTCATATAAAGTGCCTTGACAGGTAAATATGTGTGACCAGATTGTTCGAAATGTATAGCGCAAGTACATCACATTTTTCAGATCAATTATGTCTTCTCACTGTTCATTCTATCTCGTGTTTTATCTCTGTTTCATCTCTCTTGAATAAACTTTTGTCCTCTCACACTGTTTTCAGTATCAGTCAACTAAATTAATCATTTCTAAAATTGCATTACCATTAGAATTCTCTAATTCTTATTCCGCACACCGCAATGGACTAATCTCCGGCATGGTGATAGGATAGCTGCTGGTTTCCAGAAAGCATGGTGACTTATGACAAACACATTCACCCAAACCACGGTCCTTAAAAATCCATACGAGCTAGCCAAAAAGATATAAGATGCAAGTTATTGGAGTGCGGAGTGAATAATGGTTCTAAACCAAACCAGCCGGAATGCCACGTTATGAGAATTCTGCCCTTCATGACGCAAACGATTCACATCCCCAACGGAAGTCCTCTCCTTAATGTCTCCTCTGATAGGATATTCATAAAAATATCCCAGAAATATACTCACAAGCCTAGCCTATTATCAAACGTATAATCGTATGTTTTCAGTCTTTTATCATATATCACATCTAATTTCCTATTGTTCAATATTACGGTCGTCCTAACTATATAAATATGAATTATCTGTCGGGTTCTAGGTTGTATTCTGATCCGATAACAATTTACATATAATGGTTTTGCGTTCTGATATATTTTGGATTTGGGGAAACAGAATTTGCGGTCGCACTGATATATATCAGGTTGGTCGACTTTCGAGTAGCCACATCGCAGAACTCGATATCCTCAGAGCGCCATCTAGGTTTAATAACCACTGAAAGCCTCTACACTGGTTCGAACTACAGGAGGGAAGCAGCCAAGGCTAACGCTACACTTCAATTTATCCTGAGAAAACTTGATGCTATCAGCGAAGAATTGTTCAAACACTGTTCAGGACATACGCACGCCAACACTATGAGGCTTACAGAGTCGTCGCACACTCTCTACTTGAAAGAGACTCGGATCTGTTGTGTTGAGTTCAGAGAAGGATTTGAAGACCAAACCTTACAAGTGACTCTGTCAATTAGGATTATTCCCTCTGAGTTGCAGAAGAATCAGATGTGATATGATAATGGCGTACAAATTATTTAGTACGGAAAATCTTCCAACCGTGGCATCTCATCGAAACATCAACACTGCTCGAAGAAATCCTCGAAAAATTGCGTATCCGACAGCGAACACTCGGGTTCTTGCACACTTTTCCTCATTAAGAGTCGTTGCAACTTGGAATGCTCTCCCAGCCGGGGTGACCATAGCCCCCTCAGTGGTCAGCTTTAAGAAGCATTGGAATTTTATCATTTATTCCTACACATTGCGACTAACTGATCCCAGATATTGTTATCTGATAGCTTCTGGTATTCAGAAATGCTACTGCTCTGAAACAATCGTACTCATTCAAGTAACGGGACATACAAACTCACAAACTAATGCCAAGTGACTGGAGTTAGACAGTGGCTAGACCCTCACTTACTGAACACTAACGAACACCTGGAACCGTACCGAAAGAGCAAGAATCGGGTGTAAAGAAATCTACTGGTTAATATCAGCTCGTGAAAAAGATATTGGATGTATTGGATATTGGATACTGGGGTCAGTAACTAAACTTGATTTAACTTTCAAGGTCGATGGGGCCGTTATCGTGTGCATCTTTTTTGTTGCATTACACAGAATGGATTTATGTGATATGGCTGAAAAAACAAGACGTTGCATTTTAATCCTAGCTGTAATATTTTTTTATTCACTCACATTTGGATTCTGTTACAATGGTAAATGTTGTGTCCTATTCCCTGATTATCACAGGCATTATTGTGAATCATAAAGAAGTCCAGATTCTGGTTGACGGTATAGATAATTTTGTAAGATGTTTTCAGTTTTATATTATTTCTTAATAGTGTCGATTGAAAAGTTTTAAGGCTGATGGGTATGCCTTTTTCGGTAATCCAAATAATTACAGACCCAGTGATGCTTTTCCTATGTTTTCGGGGTTATCTTTCCAGCCATCATTTCTGGATTTTGGTGAACAGTATGAAAATTTTTAATAAGTGACATTTTTCAGACCTTTATCATATGCCAAACACATCGAAGTCACTATCACCAACATTGATGCTGACCAGTCTATTGATCTTGTCACTACTTTCGGAGCATCTCAGTTCATATTTTGGTCCAGATTTAATCAAACAGTTTGTGTTGCATTTTTACAATGCTTCATATTTTAGGCTATCGCTCCTGCCACTTCTGCTAATTTTAATATCACGTTTTTACCTTATACTGTGGGTGAATTTGAAACCTCCATTTATATTCAAACGTCTTTAGGTGCTGCAAAATATCAGGTTTTTTTTAATTAATCGTTTTCTAAATCTTAAGGTATTCGGATCCAGCTACATCAGTAATGATTATTTGATACCTGTCGTCAGCCTTGAATCCCTCGATGCAAATGAAAAATCATTCGAACTCAAATTAGTTAACCCTTTATCCTATCCTGTGAAGGTAAGGTATTTTTATCCAAACAAGTTTTTTTTCAAAGTATGCTTATCCATTTCATAATATTTTCATTGCCTCGCTCCCGCTGACATGATCCTTTATTGAAGGCAGCGTTTGTTATATGTGTCCGTTAATTAAACATATGTGCCACCAATAAGTAAGCGTTTGTGTTTTAACTGTCTTATTACTCATTGAACAGTGTCTGAAGGCCTGCAACAGCATAAACTTCTCAGACCAGTCATATACCATGTGGCTATATTCTGTCTCTTACTTCTCAATGAGTTGTTCCGCACTTTTTGTTCAGTATCTTTGCTCAGTGTTAAGAGGTAATTTATGTATCACTTATAATCTTATTTGGTAGTTTTAGTTTTCCACCTCTCTTAAAGTGTGATATCAGGTTACGAGGTTTTATCCCATCTAGGTAACTTTTGTTTATTGATAAACTTTAGAATAAGCATCAATTGTTAAGGGTGGAGTATGCAGAATTCCAGTCTCACATTGGTTTGTAGTTGAAAATTTCTTTCTCTGGTCTCTTTACCCGGTTACATTATATACTCCGCACTGAATACCTCAAGATAATCACTAGCAGCGAATATTGATTACCTAAAGTTATCTGCTTAGACCATCATCATCAACAGCAACGTAGAACTTTGCACGTAAGTACAGCAGTTCAAGTTGCCAAACCACATTAACACAGATGTAATTGTCAATTCAAATCCCACAGTAGTAGAGGTAGTAAAAGTATTAGAAGTATTCGGAGATATTAGGGTTCGATGATGTTATTCAAGAAGTATAATGCAGTGGGGTAAATTTAGAAAGAGAAAGATAGAGGTGATGAGGAATAAAGATGGTTATGTTCTCTGCATAGACCATCAAAGTCTGTAAATACATGTACTATAGCTTGGTCGCATCCAGCTTTCTTCCAACCTATTGCTACACCACAAAACATAGTACGTCGAGACAGTCGGTGGTTAGGCATTCGTAACACATGTTCCAACCACCTCAACTGATGAAGATTCACAGCTTCACTTATTGATCTGTCACCCTTACCTAGTACCCGTTTTATCACAGTTGCGTTGCTTACTTAGTTGTTCCAGGATATACGAGCAGTACTTTTCAGACACTAGTCTTTTCTGACACTACTAATGCTGTCACTAATTTTGCTTTTTCTTGATAGTTTTTTTTTCATTCTGATAATGTAGTACACGAACTTGAACCAATGCACATATATGTCGAGTTCTACGTTGCACATGGCTGTCTTGCCCACTAGATAAAATCTTATTTTATTCGAATAAAATTAGATAAAGTATGGAGGCGCCTCTTGGATAAATTTTTTCCTTGCAGCTGTGTTCACCTACTTATACTGTTCTTTAATTTCCGCGGACTAGCTTATTTTCCTTACATGTTCTGAATAACTATGATTAATTAAAATAGACAGTACTATGCTTAACCCCATACAAGTTAAATCAATTCCGGTTACCACGAAAAAAGAAGATAAGCAAATTATGAAAGTTTCATAATAAATAAAAATACACAAATGAAAGAAGTCATATATCTGTGTTTATGAATAAAAAATGAACATGATTGACAGAATTAGATGTGGACCTCATACTTTCGTAGCACAGTAATAGGTTTCATTCGAGCGTTTATTATCTCAGATTATATGGGCAGTCGACGATATGTTTGTTCATTGAGCTTACTAGCTGTCTTAGTTGATGTAGTTTCACATTTTTGACTACTGCATGGAATGATCTATAGTGCTGTTAGTGCAGTAATTAGATTTTAACTGATCCAATTACAGATATTTTAATTCCGTAATTTTTTTGCGTTTATTGAGAGTATGAATCTTATTATTTTTAAATATGACACTTTTTGACTTTCGCTTCAGGTTGACAATCTTGAAGTATTTTCTGATAAACTACATACGGATTATTGCAGTTATTCCCAAGTTGCATCAAATTCGACTAGTGATAGTGATACGATCGACAGTTGTGCATTTGAACCCATAATACTCCATTCACATGAATCAGCAAGCCTGTTAAAAGCAACTGTTGACGTGAATGTTATGGAGTTAGTTCAAATTTCAAGTTCAGTTTGGGAATATGATCTCCGATCCCAACGTGACCAAATATATTTTGAAAAGTCAACTGACGATATGGTTTTCTTGAGCTCGAAGTTACCATCCGCACTGATTTCGATAAATGATTTTACTGATCAAGGTAATCAATAGTTTTTGTAACAGACCCTACTTCCTTCTGCTTTCCGTAGGTATTTTAATATGCACAGTAGATATTCCAAGCCTTCTGGTAGATCGTCTACAGTTGCCTAAATATATAAAGTTGTAAGTCGTATCTACTTCAATTGATCAGTCAACCAAACAACATCCTACTAAATGTGATATATCCGAAAATACTTAATATGTGGTGATTTGCATAAATTTTTCACCAATAAATCTGTATTAATAAATAAGCATACTGTTTGGATATATTGCTTTATACTTGGCTCAAATTGGTCCAATGTTGTATATGTAACCTAATCAACGGTAGTTTTAATATTACTTTACCCCCGTTTATCCATTAGATTTGGTCACGGTCTTGTCCCTTAGTGATTATGTTTTACTAAAATAAGTCACCTTTAATCCTGTTACCATGTATCTTTTAACTGAAGTCACTAAGTACCATTGTTCGGTTTACTGAACTGTTGATAAGTGAATTTAGAAGTAAATAATATTTTGGTTCATTAAAATCATTGAAAAAAACAGAAATGTAGCCTACATTAGTAAAGCAAGCCTTAGTCCATTTGTTTTCAAATTGCGGATAGGTTTAGTGTTAAAGTAGAATGTTAGATTAAAATTTAAAGCCTCAACTTACATTTGTTGAATTTTACATTCATACCCCACTCTGCCTACTTTAATTTCAATATCGGAGTAGTATCAATGACTGACAAAAAGTATGTCTTAAATCCAAGTTCATAAATGCTCATTTGACTACTTAGTTGAAATTACTATTATTGTTTCTATTAAATACTATTATCGTTTATATTGGGAGGTCTTTGAAAGAACTAAAACTGGGTAAAAACATATACCTTATATAGTTGCATAATGTTAAAACAGTTATTTCACTTATTCTTTTCGCGATATTTTTGATACCGACTCTAGTGACTCTAAATATTTACTTTGTGCTTGAATGTTTAGATTCATCGTTATAATTGCTTCTGGTGGGTTTTTATTTCTATTCAATCCTCCATAATTTTGCATCACAACAGATGATTTTTATTTGCCTGTTTATTTTGTAGTTCTGTACTCACGTGTCAGTCTTCTCTATTTCGGTACTATCAATAGTCAAACAGATTCAGTTTCTAAACCAATCGAAATTTTATTTCTCGGTGATCAGCCACTTGAACTAACAGTAGGTTCATTTGTATGTTTTTTTTTTATATGGCACAGTTATTATTATTATTACATATTATAATTTCAGATAAAAATTTCCATTCTGTGGTTATTCAGAAGTTTTTACAAAATGAGTTTATAAATTTTGTCCTACATTGATAACACTTATTGAACCATAGATTAGAAGTCGTACAGAGTTTACAGTATTCAACACATCTGACTTTCACTGTATTTTCAAATGGAATTGCATTGGTGATTCATTTTTCGAGGGTTGGATTATCCTGGCTTCTTGACATGCGCTCTTGAATACACTAGGAGGAATCAGTTGTTGGTGCTTACAAGTGAAATAGTATATTATTGATCATAATAGTTCTTATGTTTTCTTCTTAAATTTTGAATATAGTAATAATATTTAGCAGAGATGAATAGTGGTTGTCAGTGTAATAATCCAGGACGCATGTTCCGACCTATTTGTGATTTGTCATCTATATGTGTCTGCACCTCAGGGTTGATGTTGAGTTCGGAACGCGAACGCAGTACATTTCACTTGAAACGACATTGCATTCTCTACTGCTATTGATCAGTCTGTTTGATATATATGGATCCTGTTACCATTCACCTCTACTAATAATGCTTGTAAATAACAAGGGAAAGATTCGAAACAACCAATATAAATGTTTTCATAATTTGTTCGTACAGAAGCATGAGCAATATTTGTTTTGTGCATCAGAATTCTGAATGTATAACAAAGTTTCTTAACCATTTTCCTAATTTTAGTGCAATTCAAAAAACATTTTCTTATTTATGTTGAAGTTTTTCATTTTTGTGATCTAGGTGTAATAAGAATACTAGAAAAACAAATTCTTTCATTGAAGGCATTAATTAGCTTTTCGAGTGACTGTTAATTGTTTTGTGATGACATCATTGAAAAATTAATCGATTAATTAGTGTGTAATATATGAAGAGCTACTTCAATGTATTAGTCAGCATTACATACAAAGAGCTAGCTACACAGTGTAATATTGTCTTATTTTACAATGACTAGTTTATTCTAATAGATATAAATTAGAGAATTAGAAATTCTAAAAAAAATTTTATCATATTAATAAATAATTCATTGAAATCGCGATTTTCTTCAAGTTTATTCATCACACAAGTAAAATTGAATAAATATGGATAATAATGGGTGCTTTGAATAAACATTGACTAGAAAAAACTATGATTATCTACTGAATTGATAGTGTAGAATCAGAGTGATAAATGCATTTAATTTATACTTTGTAATCATAAAAATGGTGATTATAATTTACTGTTTCATTCTTTCAATTGTTGATATGTTTTGGTCTTGTTTATGGTTTAGTTAAATGTTTAATGTAGTTAGTATAAGTGAGCACTTCTATTTCGCCATTGAATATTATTCTTGTACAGTTAATATAAGTGATGTAGATGTCGCTTTTTCATTTGTTGTAATCTTCTATTCAAATCAAAGCACTTCGGTTCATATTTCGCATTTCTCTCTCTTCTGCTTTCTCTTTGACATAATTTCTCCTTAAACGCCTGATTTTGATAATTACGATTGTGCTGTTTTCAGGTGTGGCATTTTATTGTTTTCACTTTGTTCAAATTGATCATGTTTTTTCGGTGAATAGGATGAAATAATGTGGGATAGATTGCTCTTCTGATGAGTTGTGTTTTACACTGTTGTGGGGTTAGGAAATACACAATTGAATGAGATCTCAAGAGGTATAGACTTACAAGTGAATAGCTGAATAATTTCAAACATTTATTTGAGACTGTTATCAAGCTAACGTGTATTGGTGATATATTCAAGGTAGTTGTCTGTTACGTATTTACTCGAGCCCATTATCATGCTCAGTGTTGCAGTCGTGAACCCGAAGCTCTCCTCTCCAATTCATGGATAGTACAATCGGTCCTTTTGATATCTGCGTTCGGTTTGCGGCTCAATGTGATCGTTTATCTGACTGTGTTCTTTTAGCATTCAGGACTATAAGTTAGAGCATGTCTTATGATACAGTTTGAAGGATTTTGCAAAGTGCTTGCCAACCACCTGCAACGTCTTTGTCTAATTTGCCACCCTGCTGGAGGCTAGTTTGTTCACTGCCACAGCAGGTTATTTCTGACTGTCTCTTGCGAATGGAACTGAGGTATTCTGAGTTTATAAATACGTATACTTTTTTAATGATGCCTGTAGTCTTTCCCATGTTGCCCGTTTGTATTGAAAATTTCAACTTTATTTAAAGTAGGTGGTTTTGTGTGATACTGTTTTTTACTCGAAATGCATCTGTAAGCAGGCCTCCATTCATGAATGAATAATTCAGCCCCTCACTGAGTTCAATACGATGGTGATGAGGTTCTCAGATACTTCATGGTGTTGTAAGTGATTCTACAACTGTCATTAGGACTACATCACATGTTTTTCGGTGAACGAAATCATCAGCTTACTCTTGAAACGGATTGATCAACAATGAATTATCGTTTATCGCCAATTTAATCGCTGATAATAAATGACTATTTGTGAACTATACTTCATATGTGGTTGTTAAAATGATGAAAATCAGTCAGTTAACTTTTTATTTAATTTAATAAAATATTATTATCATATCACTGATGTTAACACTAAATAAAATAGGTAATTATTTCAATCAAATTTATCAGTATTTTATTATAATTCCATTTTTTTTTCCAGCTGATTACTATATCAATTGTTATGATTATGATTTATAAATAAAAATAATATCTTTTCATAGATTAGGGTCAAGTAGTGTTGTTGTTTTGTTCGTTTTTTTTTTCGTTGCTAGTACGAAGTTTTCTAACCATTACACATCCAAATGTCCCTGTGTGTTTTGAATATTGTCGAGACAAAACCACTATTTATGTCTTTATTTTTATTTTTAAATGATTTATCACGTGGATATTTTATAAATAGATGCACTCTGAGTAATTTTTTGATACCATTCAATAATTGACCTTATTAATATACATCAATAGATGCGCCTCCTAATTTTAACAATTAAAAATCAGTAAATTTACTGTCCTCAATTACTACTACTACACAAATGCCAAATAAACTTATGCTTTGAATCGTTTTTATTATTGTATTTAGATGATTTTTCACAATTAATTTGTTGAACTCAATTTATATAGTTTGTTAATTTGGTTATTAAAATTAATCGACTCAAGATTGTTAAATGTTTCTTGTGATCTCCGTCTCAAGTTTGCCATGTTTTTGTGTTCATTAGCTACAAAAATGTTTTGAGCCTAAAATGAGTTCTGCTACTTGTAACGATAACAAAACTTGAATAAAAAGATTTTTTGTTAATTCCTTTAAATTACTTAAGAAACGCATGTATTAAATATAAACTGAATCCAGTTTAAAAGCAATCATGAGAAAGAAACTGATGTCTCTCTTTTTGTAGTAAAGAATTTATTTCGCTGATTTGTTTTCACAGGTACATCATTATTGTTGCGTTGTTTGATCGAGAAATAATTATTAGTACAGTGACTAAGTTTGAAATTGATAAAAACAATTTAAATCATGAAACAACAAAAAAATTTTCAAATTACCCACAAAAAAAATAGCACAAAAGCTCTTTGACAGTCAAGAAAATAAGAACTAGAAACAGCATTAATAAATTTCTGCAGTGATTTCATTAAACCCTAATCACTGATAAACCAATTGATAATATCTAAGATAAATGCAGTGATTAATGTGAATTTCGTAAAAAAATTTTTAAAGCCAACAATCTATTTGTGATTTTTTGATACTTAAATAAATCAAAACAGCCTCCTTTGATTGACATGCTCTAAACTGTGTGAATAAAATTTAGTTTTCAAATAAATGAACACCTTTTTCTTCAAAAAGTGTCCATTCATTGGAATACTATCTCCTGCGGTAGCTGCTATCTTGACGTGATGTTCGGGCTTACCTGTCATAGTGACCCAACCCAACTGTATTGGCTAGAAAGTATGTTCATTTAGGTCCTATTGCGCCAGACAGATTTGTTGGAGAACGGTAAGACTAAAAGCCGCAACTTAAGATTTGAGGGCGAAGTCGTACTGTTGATTGTAGAGGTGTGCTGCAGCAGCAAGGTGTTTCCTTCGCACAACCACCATCGGCAGCAATGCTACCTTATCACAACATAAGGAAAGAGTCAGAAAAGGTCTACCTTAACAATATCACACCTCACCTTACCTCGTGGATTTCCGTCTCCGGCTGTGAGTCTTTTTAAAAAGCAGAGCTAACACTTTAAAAACTTCCCATGAAAATGCCATGCACGAAAACCCCAAGCAATTATCCCTTGGGCTCTGTGGTCACGCTCCCAGGTCTCTCGGACCAACACTAATCCAACTTCGTTTTCAGGTTCTTTATAAAGTAATAGCCCTCCACGGTGTGGGCAGCCGGAAAGTTACAACCTCTCTCATATCCCTAATAGCATACGAGATTAACCTGTTCAAGATGAAATTCTTCCTCCACCTCTTACTAATTCTTTCATCTCCGCGACTAACCTTTATTGATTATTTTAATCAGTTTAATTGGCCTTCAGTCGAACTTTGGCTGCCCACGATCTCCAATCAACATAAATGACAAGTTGATGTAGGTCTTCTAATATTTAATGCGCTTGAATACGCATGGACATCCTAAAACAAAGGGAAGCAGCAGGACCAGTGGATTAACCGCTGAGACTTTTAAGAATGTAGGTCCAGTTTTATCTTAAATTGACTTCCATCTTAAGTAGAATCTGGGAACTGGACGTAATCCCATCTGCCTGATCTCAATCACTGATTGTCTCAGTGTATGAGAAAGGAGAAAATCAGGTTGCTTTCTGACCTGAACATGGCTGTGTAGAGCATATATATTCACACGTCGTCAGGTCATACAACAGACACACATTTAGGCACCTGAAGACAGTTATATTTCTTGACCTTATGGTGGGCATTAGATCCTGTTAATCGTCAGGCGCTATGGCAGTGTCTGTCGCTTAATGGTGTAACAAAGTAGCAAATTAACCTTACTCAAACTCTCTATTCGAACAGCACTCGTCGAGTGAGAGCGTATGGCAAAATTTCGTCGGAGCTGATTACCACGCTTTCATCCTCTCACTTTTCAGGAGCTGACATTCTACCAGGAGACACGTTTGTTGATATAGAATATGCTGATGACTTAGTTCGATCAAATATATTTTCTTCTGATCAGAAAACTGTTATTGGCCTTAGGAAAATCGCCTAAAATGCAAGAGAGATAAAAATTCAACTGATTCCTAACACGAATTAAACAATATATATATATATATATATATATATATATATATATATATATATATATATATTGTAGAAGCAGAAAATTGTGTCAAAAATTGTAACCAACGCCATTGTATTATTAAATCATAAATTAGTTAGTGCTTAAACTAGGATTTGTAAAACTTTAAACGAAATAAGTAATTTCGATAGATAACTGCCATTCTCCTCATTAACACTTCCTAATGAGAGAAATACAGACCTACTAATTCAGTCGGTTAGTTACAATATAGAATTTCGTACGTACATGCATCATTTCAGGTTGCCTGCCATAACACATTAGCACAGAGACTTAAATGTCAGTTCAAATCCCATATTGGTAAAGACAGTAGAAGTATAAGCGGTAATCGAGAAGATTAGGGTCTGAAGATGTTATTCAAGAAGTATCATTCAGCGAACTCAATTCAAAAAGGGAAAGATAGAGATGATGAGGAATTCTGAAGGTTAGAATTTTAGCGAACACTAAGAGTGGATGCACTGTGCCATTGCAAACGATTTTCAGCCATGTCGTTCAAGGTCTCTAACCATCGGTTACTATTGTTTCTTGCGGACTTCAACCAGGTAGTCTACATCTACCAACATGACTCAGTTCACTTGTCAGTGATTTCATGGATTTGGTTTGGTTTCCCCTCACTTTCTTCCAACACGGCCAGTAAGAGTTGTGGATATTCCTAAAGTACTAGTATTTGATCATTGGTGTCTTTGAAGCATTGCTCGTATATCCTGGGACAGCTGAGTAAGCAATGCTGTTGTTAAGAAAGGAGTACTAGGTAAGGATGGCAGATCAATAGATGACGTAGTGACACTCCATTAGTTGAGGTGGTTGGGACATGTGTTACCTATGCCCAACCACCGACTGCCTCAACGAGCATTGTTTAGTGGTGCAGGAATAGCTTTGAAGAAAGGTAGGGGCAGCCAAACCAAAAGATAGCAGAAATCCATGAATTCACTGACAAGTGGACTGAGCCATGATAGTAGGTTTAGAACACCTGGTTTGAGTCTGCGAGACAATCGTATTCGATGGTTAGACTTTAAATGACATGATTCAAAATCGTTTGCAATGGCGCAGGTGTATCCGGTGTTTGCGTTCTCTCGAATTCTAATCTATTTAGTTCCTCATGACATTTTTTATTCTTTTTTTAACTTTATTTCACTGGATTATACTCCTCGAATCATATCTTTGATCCATAATCTCTTTGATTACCACTAATATTGTTACTACTTTTACCACTACTATGTGATTTGAATTGACAAATTCATTCCTCTGTACTTATGTGGTCTGTCAACTTTAGCTAATGTAGGTGCTTACCAAGTTTTGCGTTAAGACTGACTAACTCACATCTATCAATGTTATCCACACACGTTTAATAAGAATTTTTCTTTGTCAAATTGTAGAGCATTGAAGCCAATATTTATGATGAAGCTCTATCAATCACTATTACAGAAAAAATTATTTCACCACGTACTACGATCCCGAAAACTGTTGCTATTGTAACGCTCTCATGTAAGTAATAATTTTATGTCTATGATTTATTGAAATGATTTGATTCCTTGAATATTTCTCTTACACTTGTATGCTGGTGATTTTTGGAGTTCTAGTGAGAAAGCATAACTTATGAAGCTCGACCTTGTCGAATTTCTGTCATTCAGTCACCAGTGACAGTGGAAAATGGCTGTATAGCATCACTAGTTGATTGAAATGAAGCCACTGATCGCCAGCTCATGAATCACTAGGCTAAGTATTCACCTCAACACGTTATAGTCCGTAGTTAGGTTTTTAGTCAAGTCGAAGATGGTTGCTCCTAAGTAACTGCATATTAGAATGGAGCAGCTTTTCAATGTTTACTAAATCACAATGTTTGTTTTACTAAGGTCATTCTGTAATGTGAACTGTAATATCGCTCGTGTGTACGGTGAGAATATGCATTGGTTTTACGTGTCACCACCAATATGACATCATTATTATTTTAACTGTCTTACAACATTAAATCATGCAATTTTAATTTAAACACGCCTAACTAAATTTCGTCGGTGAAAATTGTTTTTAAATGGTACCGTTAAAAAGAAACTTGTAATTTTTTTTAACTTATTGATGTTTTTGAATCGAACGAAATTGTCATGTTTGAACATACTTTTGAAGTAAACGTTTACACTACAAATAAAGTATACTTCTTTTATTCACTATTCCAGTCAATCATAGTTTAATAGTTGAAACACTTAATTTTAAACAACTAAAACTGACATTTGTAAACCTTTACTTCAGTTTGAACAGCCAAATAACTATCACTTAGCATCACATAAAAATTTCTTAACTCAGAGCCATTTATTTACAAACTTGATTTAAATAACTGAGTTTTTATAGGTAGAAATCATTCGGGATTCTGTTCAGTGGACTAGTTGCTTCATCGATTGTTATTGAACAAATAAATCACTGTTATAAAAGTGAAAAGTCATTGTCATACCTTTCGACACTGATCTTAATTATATTAATGATTCAGTTATAAGTACAACATTATATATATATATATATATATATATATATATATATATATATATATATATATATGTAAATTGACCTAAATTGTCGCATTTCATTGTGACATCATTCCCCCGGCCAAAAACAATTTTCAAAATAATATAATTATTTAAAGTAATGTTACTTTTGACTAACGTTAGGTAGTTGTAGGTGGTCGACAGGAAACCATAGACCAAGGTTTCATGATAATTGATGCTTGTCATCAAGAAATGTCTGTAGTCTCAATAGAACTGATACCACCTAGCTGATTCAACCCCGTATCGCCCTTATCCATAAATACCCCGGTACAGCCGAGGGTGGAGAGAGTCGACTCTCCTTGTAATGCCCTCATATGGTCAAAAGTATGGAGCCACTGATATGGAAGTCCTACTCACTACCATCTCGTGGCTGGGGTGTTGTTTACGAAGTTGAGAGGACAAAAAGCGAATATCCGACCTTGTAACTGTGTTGGTGGGTGTGGAAGGTAAACTTAAGTGAGTTGGAAATCCCTGATTCCATATGAATGGTGCACATGGACTCCAGTATCCTGAAGGATCGAATGGCATATAAACTCATTGTTGAACACCAGCCACCATGAACCTGTACCTCCTGTTGCTGCTCCGCTCCCTTCTGGATTAAACTCGTAGATTCACATGTATAACTTTATACTCGTTGGGAATGTAAATCATTGGATAAACTAACTCATTGGTTATTACCATCAAACTTGAAGATTATGATCGTAATAGTGTATGTTTGTTATATTTAGAAAATCTACATTTCTTTAAATAATTTATAACTTTGCTGTGTAATGCTGTATAGTGTAGTTTATTTAGCTGTACTTTCTTATCATAACAAACTTCAGTTATCCTCTATAGGACTTGTACCGTTATATAACTTACTATTCATATGGTCATGTAAAATATCTTAATGATTAACATGTCATTAATGAAATAACACATTTATTAATGCGAAAAAAAGTTTGCTTTATAACAACTTGAATAAAATTGTCATCATTTAATGACAATGAAGAAGAAGCACGCTGTGACATGTCAATCATATCAGTTTGGATGTACAACACATATATAATTTGTATTTTATAAATGAACAGATTTTTTTCTTCTGAAATGATTCATTTAAACAAGCAAATTTTTGACAAGTATAAATTTTAATTGATATTCCATCAACTTGTCAAACTCTTAACTGTATATAAAGAAAATGATTATAGTATTGAACAGAGTATCATTCTTGAACAAAATACTTACAGTAAGCAATCAAGTCCTACTGAAAATACTATTGATCCATTATTAGGAGGTGTAGGAAGGATTTTTTGTGACAGATGCAGTCTCGTCTGCTGTTACGGGTATGAAGGCGGTTGTCTCTTCCCGGCTGTCCACACCGTGGAAGGCTGTTTCTTCAGGGACCTGAAAAGGAAGGTAGATTAGTGTTGGTCTTGGAGACCTGGGAGCGTGACCGCAGAACCCAAGGCACAACTGCTTAAGGCTGGTCACGCACGGCCATTTTATGAAAGGTTTTGAGAGTATTAGCTTGACTCTTAAAAGCCCTTAGTGGGCACTCTTACCGACGGAGACGGAAATCCGTGAGGTAGGGTGAGGTGTTATATTTCGGGGTCGACATTTTCTAACCCTTTCTTCTTTGTGAGAAGGTAGCATCTCTGCAGATGCTGGTTTTCCGAGTGAAACACCTTACTGCTGTCACACCCCTCTACAGTAGTCAGCAGTACGACTTCGCCCTCAGACCTAGGGTAGCTGCTTTTAGTCTCATCGTTCTCCAATCGACTAGCCTGGCATGGTAGGACCTTCAGGAACATATGTTCCAGCCAGTATAGCTCGTTTGGGTAATGAAGATAGGCAAGCCCGACCACCACGTCAAGGTAGCAGCTACGGTCCGGAATCAAAACACGTCAGAAATCCATGAAATCACTGACAAGTGAACTGAGTCATGTCGGTAGATGTAGGCTACCTGTTTTAGGTCCGCGAGACGAAAGTCACCGATGGTTAGAGACCTTGAACGACATGGCTGAAAATCGTTTGCAATGGCGCAGGTGCATCCACTCTTTGTGTTCGCTTAAATTCTAACCTTCTGAATCCCTCATCATCTCTATCTTTCTCTTTCTAAATTTATCTCACTGAATTATACTTCTCTAATCGTATCTTTGAACCCTAATCTCTCCGATTACTGCTAATACTTCAACTATCGCTTCCATTATCGGATTTGAAGTGACGATTGCGTCTCTGTGTTGATGCTATCTGATACCCTGAACTGATGTACTTACGTACGAAGTTCTGTGCTGTGTCTCTCTGTCTGTCTCATTGATCCATTATACGTAGTATTAAATTTACAGTATCAATCATTCATAAGGATCAGATAACTAGTTAATTAGTTGATTAGCTTTTATTAATTCTATCTACTTTTTTTTGTTGTTCTATTCGTCATCGCATTGTTTATCTTAGGAGGAAAAAAAGTGTCGAACAGTCCTACTGCATGTCAATAAACTTAAATATCTCATCAAATATTACTTAGTATTATTTTCTGTCTAAATGACGTAAAAAAGAAATACTGTAAGTAAAGAGAATTTTTCTTGATTTGTCTAAAAAAATTACGATGACAAGGGTGTTTTCGCGGTGAGAGAATGGAAAGCGAATTTCCTGTGTTTAAACTAGTTTTGTATATACAGAGGGTCCACGCATTGGTTTCGGAAAACCCTGATTCTAAGCCAGTGTTGCACATGAGCTACAAAATCCTGAGAGAAATATGGCCGGGGGGCGCGGGTAAAAATCTATCCTGGTCACTAGCTACTATGGGACTCTGTATCTGACGTTACTTCACTAAATTAGACTGTGTAAATTGAGGGTTTGAGAAGTTGTCCCTTAAAAAGACTATTTGTTGAAATTCGAGTGTCTGAGTACTCACACAACATTACTTCACAGGTGCGTATAGTCTACTATTCTTAAGAGTCGTTCATGTTATCGGTTCGAATTCACATTTTAATTTGTATTCTGGAATATTCTTATTATCAACCTATAAATATTCAAATTATTTAATTCATAAATATCCCATATAGCTTTTCTAAAATTGTGCTATGAATTATGCAAGCTGAATTTTAATTAACCTACTATTGTTTAGAGGTTGTAACTTCTAAATTCAAAGTTAGACATTAACACCGTTGGACGCCAGCTCGTTGGTTTAATGATTAAGCGTTCTAGCACCTACCCAAAGGTCGTGGGTTCATTTTCCAATTGCAGAGTCATGAGCACGCGCTGATGATGAGTTCCATACTAGGAAAAAACAGCCGCCCAGTGCTTCCAGGTTTTCGATGATAATCTAACATTATTCAGCTCATTATTTCAATGAGACTCAACAATTTTCCTAATCTTATAACTGCTTTAAATTTAACTTCTCGACATAGCGAATAAAATGTTTATGTTAGAAAAAAAGAGGATTATCTGCTTGTTCATTCACAATTCTTATTTCAACTGTCATTTTTAAAATAGCTACTGTTGTTGTTGTTGTTGTTTTTGTTGCTGTCGGAAAACAAACTGTTTTTATGTTAATAAGTAATAAAAAAATCACACAAATGTAGTTGTAAACTAACAAATTTCTATTTATTAAGTTTGATAGTTTTCTGAAATTCACTCTATACAAACATCTTATCATAAGTAGGTTAATGAATGCGACAGTATCATTGTTTTGTTGTTTTTTTTATCATGAGTACTTTGTTGATTGTAGATTGTGTTGATTGACAATTTTTACAAATTTTAGTCAAAATATACACATAAAGAGGCTTTAGTGTTTTGAAATCAAATGGAATACATTATCTATGTCTCTTTTGGAATGTTTGTTTTGTAACTAACTGTATTGTTTTGCTTATCTTATTTTGTGATTATTATTATGATTATTATCATTGTTATCTTTTTACAATTATGGTATGTTTTAGATCATATTCATCAGTTGTGTGTGCTCAACAACTTGAAATTTTTTTTGTAAATAAAAAAAATAAAAAAAAGTTTTTTATTCTTTACATAAACTATACAAAAGTTGTCTCTGGATTGACAAATTTCTACATATATCTGTGTAATACTTTGCCAAATAAAATATACTGACAGTAATAAAAAATGATAATGGGTGACATTGTTAAATATTGATTTTTTTCTAAATTTTCTTTAATTATATGTTTCGTAGCGAAAACAAAGCATTTTCAGGAGTATATTCTAGATTGTATCTGTTATAGATTGATTTTTTAGTTAGATACTGTTAGAAACAAGAGAGCACTGAACAGCTACACTAACGAATCTAAAAGGAATTGAATTGAATCTTAGTATCACTTGAGTGATCAGTTAACCATAAGAAACATTAGACTGCCGTTCAATAGTACCACAACTTGAATTAATCTGTGAAAAATAAATAATCTTAAAAATTAAATCAATCCTCATAAAACTTCAACTAAATTAGTGAATTTCAAATAGTTGTATACATCTATTCATTGTTTTTACGATAGTTGTCATTGATGAGAGGCATTTGTAAAGATTTGTTTAATGTAAGCTTTAAAAAAAAACGTCAAACATTGAATAAGCGACCGCTCTAAAACAGTAGTTAATTGTTATTTTTCCCTAGTCCTAAAGCTATTTAACTCTATACACTTTAGAAATAATATAAACTAAAACACAGACATACGCACTTTGTAAAAAGCGTGTCACCACTTGTTGCTTCATTCATCGTTCATAGTTTTATGCTGTCTTAATTTCAGTGAATTTGAATTATGCTTCAATCTTGGATTCTATTAATAGTTTCCTTTTATTTATTTCCATCTGATACCACAGTCTGTAATTGACAGTTTTCACAAAATTACACTATATAATGTGATGTTAGATGGTTGGAAGTGGTCTTGAGTAAACGATGTACTTAGATTTCTTGTTAGTTAACACTATTCAGTAAGGTTTAGTATCAACGTACCTACAATCACTAATGATGCGTTTCTTAATCTTTTGATATTGATGAAGTGTGAATTAATTCTTGCATGTCATATTATGATTACTTTTATATGATGAACTAACTAAAGTGGGAAAATCGCTGAATTTCAAAATAAATGATTAATGCAGAAATACAAATTATACATTGTTCACAGTTTGTATTTTAGAGTTATAATAAAAACTAAATAATGTAAAACGTCTCTGAAAATTCCTTAATTCAAAGGAATCTACTGCTACTTATTATTCCTTATTTTTGTAACTGCTCTTCAATTGATAGTAGTTTCGGGACTGTTCAAAAGTTACTCTCTTTTTTGTAAATCCCAAGGCTACTTCGGCAACACTAAGTTTGTATTGACAATTTTCTCTAAATTATTAAAATACACTAAAAGAAACATAAAACATCCATTGAAATTTTTATAAAATAACAAACAGTGACCACTTGTTTATGAAAAATAAAAATCATTGGGTTATTAATAAGCTACATCATAGCTATTATTATTGAAGAAATTAAAGTGAAATAAACTAAAGGCTTACATGAAATTAATTTTGAAACTCACTAACCATTCTCTACAAATTTGTTTGTTTAGTTATTAATGCTGTACACATTTCTCATCTAAGTTTAATTGAACAATATCAACCTTGGATAAAATCAATGTCTATGACTTTTTAATTTTCTTGCGCTATTTCATTTAAACTCGGTTGTCTATTATCATCAACACGGTTACAATAAGCGTAACAATCAATCTCACACTGAATAATTATTCATAATTGATCTGTTTTTTTAAATTTTGTTTTAAATTTCTTTTTCTCTATTTACACATTTTTTTTCTTTTCAGCGGCACATCTTTCACGCAGTTATTATTTATCTGGTATAATTACTGTGTACACAAATGACAAGTCTATTTATTTAAAAATACCTTTCCATGGTCGATTTGCTTATGGGTAAGTGAAATTTTTGCATTGATTGATAATAAACAGTTCAAAGATCGGTGAATTTTTTAATAAAAAAAATGTTAAATATATATATATATATATATATATATATATATATATATATATTTATCCCATTATGGTTTCTCAATTTCTCCTTATTACAATTATTATTATTATTATTATTATTATTATTATTATTATTATTAGTGAAATGTAGTGTCTTTTATCGCTTTTCATTAGTGGATTATGTTCACCGGTCATCAATTTATTATTATAGTATGTTAATTGTAACATTGATACATTTTCACATTGACCTTATCGGTTTAGTTAGTTTAGGGACAGTGAGGTGGATGAATTATGAGTACGAAATGCATTGTATTGATTACTGATTTTATTGATTTTTTTTTCTATACCTATCATCATTTAACAATGTAGAATTTCAACAATTAGATTTTTTGTTAATGGACTGCATGAATTGTGTATATTAATAAATTGTTTATATTATTATTATTATTATTAGTTTGGAGTTAAATTGGTATTTGTATGTTGTCACTTGTTCTATACACTTTAGTGGAACTAGAAAGTATTTTAAAGATAAATTGTTGTCAGAAAAAATTAGTCTGTGCATAAGTTCAAATTATCCAATGTAATTTTTGTTCATGATAAGGTTAACAATGTAAATTCATGTGTTCTTTAGTGTATGTGTAGGATGTTAACATTATTTTATAGTTTTATCTTTTTGATGGGAAATTTCGGATATCAATACTCTAGTTCGTTCAATTAAACTCTTTACGGTTTTGTAATTAAAGTTAGCATTTAGGTGTTCTTTTTACTTTCTCCTTGTTGATGTTACGGGTATGAGGGCGGTTGTCACTTTCCGGCTGTCCACACCGCGGAAGGTTCTTTCTTGAGGAACCTGAAAAGGAAGGTAGATTAGTGTTGGTGCGTGACCGCAGAGCCCAAGGCACAACTGCTTGAGGCCGGTCACGCACTGCCTTTTTATGAGAAGTTTTTTGAGTGTTAGCTCCGCTCTTGAAGACCCTTAGTGGGCACCCTTACCGACGGAGATGGAAATCAGTGAGGTAAGGTGAGATGTGACATTTTTAGGGTCGACTTTTTCTAACCCTTCCTTCTTTGCGAGAAGGCAGCATCTCTGCAGATGCTGGTTGTCCGAGTGAAACACCTTACTGCTGTCACACCCCTCTACAGTAGTCAGCAGTACGACTTCGCCCTCAGACCTTGGGTAGCTGCTTTTAGTCTCATCGTTCTCCAATCGACTAGCCTGGCATGGTAGGACCTTCAGGAACATATGTTGCAGCCAATATAGCTCGGTTGGGTCATCACGATAGGCAAGCCCGACCACCACGTCAAGGTAGCAGCTTCGGTCGGGTTGTTGATGTTAAAGATTGCAATTCATTACTTTCCGTTAGTTTATATGCATAATGATCAAGTTGCCTCAACAATGTCTCTTGGTCACAAGTTTCTGTTAAAACTAAACATTAGCCAACCATAGAATGCAAAATGTGTATATCTAAGACATTGAGACTTGAACCCAATGCATTTTGCTTTAAATACAAAAGTGTTGTCGGTTGTATTTAATTTGTAAATTAATATTATTTTCCCGAATTTTTAATCATACAGTTGTTGATAATGTTGTAGACTTACATTCCTCTAAAAAAAGAACTTGACATTACGCCACAGTTTATGGGTTGTTTATTTTTCACTAAAATTATACACGTGAACTATTCAATTACAATCAATAGATAAGTTGATTTAATAATTTAAAAGTGCATAGACTAAAATCATTTGAATTTTTTTTTTCATGGATTCATTCATTCATCACTGATTATGTATGACCTTTAATTTGACAAACTATTAAACAACAACAAAACGAATATTTTAATTTTGTATAAACAAAGTGAAAATTTATTCTCATTTATTTTATTTACTGGTTTGAATTCTGTGAGGCAGTACTAACTTCAATACACACTAATCCTTTTCATGATTCAAGCAATGTACCGATAAATTGCAGTCGTTGAAAAGCAGCATCACTGTTGAAGTACACAATTTGATCATTTAACAAGTTTTTTTTAAAAAAATTTTTACTTTATTTAATTATTTGAAATAAAAGTGAATAAAATTGTTCGGATTTATTTTGTATTGTAAAATTATTTATGTGAAAATTTTATGTTATTATCAAACACCAATTAAATGATAAAAGCTGAACTTCTAACCTCTCTGTTTGATGAAACAAATTTTTTCTTTTTAATAAATATTTCTTATGAAATTAATTATTTAATTGATTTATTATCCTTCCAGTTGACATTTTTTTGTATAATTTGTTTGTCATCCCTATTATTCCTTTAAATAAATTTAATTCAACTATTCAAAACAGTTGAACACATTAACTGGATTAACAGAGTGGACTTACTAAATAGTTATTGAATATAAAATTAAGTATTCATGTCTATCTAATATTTATTTGCTAATTGAATCTTATCAATCCAATTGTAATCTGTTCTTGAATGCTAAATAAGAATCTATGCAATCTATTTCATTTTTTATTTGATTAAATTGTAATTGTCAATATACTGTGAATAATGAGTGATTTCTAACAGTCTAGCATATTCTCTCATATCTACACTGAGCTACTAAATTATATCAATCATACTCCAGCTTCTCCCTCTCAAAAAGTTTACATCTATCCATCTCTTAATGTCTGTCTACATGAATAGTAAAAAATAATCTTATCAGCTAGCTGCATAACATTTTCTCTTTTCTTTTTTTTACTTGTTTTAGTTCACTTACATCAAACATTCAAACAGTGGCGAATTATTTAAATGAGAATTATCGACAAGCTCCAGCTTTTTCATTTTATTTTTCACTAACCAATCGATACGACTTTACAGTATTCATATCAAAAATTGATTTCTTAAAACCGAATCACAAAGATTTACTACAGGTGAGTGAATAATATCTACTAATGAATGTGTTGGTAAATTTCTTCAAAATCTCTGTATATGCATGTATATATATATATATATATATATATGTACGTGCCCGTTAGTATGTGTGCATTTATATTCAAGTGTTGTCATAGCTTTGATATGTAAATCTATAAATCGTTGTAAGAATGACAACTTTGTTTCATCGAAAATTAGTTAAATAGTATTTCTTTGAGTTACTTATCATAATAAAATAATAAAGAAATTCTTTTTATTCGCTATCACTTTACTTTCCATTAACTAATAACAATTGGAATAAAAGTGATTTACTTATTTATGATAGACGGCTACGTTAAGTTATGACACATTGAAATCATCAATCAATCATTGTTAGACTAACATTAGAAACCTGAAAGCACTGGGCGGCCGTTTCGTCCTGTTATGGAACTCATTAGCAGTACTCATCCACGACTCTTGTACTTCGCAGGATTCGGACCTTTGGTCTTGCGCGTGAACGCCTAACCTCTGGACTACCGGACCGGCATTCAACGGTGTTAGTTTCTAACTGTGATCAATCTAGAGGTTTTGCTCGACCTCACCCATTTGTCTTTGGTAGTTACTGTCTACAATTGGCCGGGTGGAACTCCACTGATCATATCTTGTCACTAGAACTCCGAGAATTTCCTCACGAAGCTAGTCGCTAGTGAGCACATTTTATGATTGTTTTCTGAATTAGAGTTATAGAGATTAGTGTTTTTACACATTTGAAATCATCAATCAATCATTTTTAGACCACCATTGATGATTTCAATGTGTAAAAACACTAATCTCTATCATTCTAACTGATAAAATTTTGTACCTACAAATTAACATATTTGTGTATTTATTATGTTTAATATTTAGAATTTCAAAAAAAGTAACCCAATTCTTTCTTTCAATGTTTATCTTTCTATTGTAGTTTGAAAGGTTGCCTATTTATAAAAAAAATTTAAAAAATATCAAATAAGTAGATACATTGGCACAAAATCTAACACAAAACTGAATATAAAATTCATATAGTTATCTATGCACAGTTATTAAAATGTGACTCTCGTCAACTAATTACAAGTTTATGTACTCTCTCTCTCTCTCTCTCTCTATATATATATATATATATATATATATATATATATATATATATATATATATATATATATATATACTTTTTATTATATTGTAGATGTTATCACAATATTATTTGTGCTTAGCCAAAATAATAAATAAATGAGTGTATTTGACATTAAGCAAAAGTATACGAGAAGAGAAAATAATTTGATTAGACTGGCTTCCAACTTTCTTCTTATCGATGCTAATTACGATAACAATAATAGTAACTATTGCGGTTAAAATACTAATTGAAATAAATATCTAATGTAATAAAACATCTGTTAAAAGAAATTTGTGTATAGTTTAATTTCACTTCATATCCTAAATGAATAACTATTTGAATTGATCAAATCAGACTCTTTACATTATGATGTGAAAATAATAAACGGGGATCCTATTATTTAAGTATTCGGCCTGCTGTGTGAGTACTTCAACTTTAAATCATTTACATAGCGGCAACCTGCTTGAATATTTGGGTTGCCCGTTTCCTTCCATCGATTCACTTCAACCAGTTACTTCTTTCTGTTTGGGTTAACGCGTAAATTATATCAATCGATCGCATAATCTATTCAGGCGCGTATATAAAAAGTTTACGAGCCATCGCTTCAGAGAGTATCTTAAGGGTCTCATCAGTGCTGATGGTCTGGTGTGTGACGAAATCTTAGTACGGATATAGAAGGATCGGTTGACTTGCGTCACTTATGGCGTAGATGAGATATCCGTCTGTTTACCGAAGAACAAGGTGTCCTCGATGCATTGCTTGTGTATCGTGGGACAAACGAGTAAGCAGTGCTGTCGTTAATAAACGAGTACTAGGTAAGAATGGCAGATCAATAAATGAAACATTGAAACTTCATCAGTTGAGGTGGTTGGGACATGTGTTACGAATGTCCAACCACCAACTGCCTCAACGGGCAATGTTTTGTAGTGCAGGCGATCGGCATTGATGAGACTCTCCAGGTAAGTGAAGCGGTCAACATACTCAACTGCTTCACTCCGTATAACAACCCAACCTGGAAGCAACATTTTGCATTTTGACAGGGAGAATCGCATCCCGAATATGCATCCATCGTTGCTTAAGGTCGTCAGAAGACTCTACATTTTGTCAGCGCCTTCACTGAGCAGAACTATGTGATGGGCATATTCTAAGTCAACAAGCAACCCTGACCCTTGAAAAGTCAGCCAAAGATAATGTTAACTCTTAAAGCATGTCTACGACATAGTTAAACAAGAATGAAGAGAGTGGACAGCCCTGACGGAGACCACTTAAATTAAAGAATTCCGATGGCAGCTCGCCATAAGCTCTCACTCGACCAGTGGTGTTCGAGTACTTCTTTGGTACACCTTTTAATGACGTTTCGCGAACTCAAATCGTTTGCATTAACAGTGAAGAGTGATAAGGGGATGTGAGAAGAGTGAGTCGTGCAGATAAGAGGGATGTTAGGGGGTGTAGGATGGATTAGAAATTGACCGATTTGGTCTTGCATGTTGTTGCGGGTTTGAGGGCGGATGTTACCTTCCGGCTCCACACACTGTGGTAGGGTGTTTCTTGAGGAACCTGAAAAGTAAGGTGGATTAGTGTTGGTCTTAGAGACCTAGGAACGTGACCGCAGAACCCAAGAGACAACTTCTTGAGGCGACTCACGCGCAGCATTTTTATGAGTTTCTAAAGTATTCGCTCTGCTCTTTTTAGAAGGCCTTACCACCGAAGACGTAACTCCGTGAGGTAAGGTGAGGTGTGACATTTTTAGGGTCGACCTTTTCTAACCTTTCCTTCCTTGTGAGAAGGCAGCGTTGCTGCAGATGCTGGTTGTTCGAGGGAAACACCTTACTGCTGTCACAGCTCTATACGGTCAACAGATTAACTTCTCCTTCAGACTTTGAGTAGCTGCTTTTAGTCTGATCCTTCTCCAATCGATCTACCTGGCATGGTAGAACCTACAGAAACATATGTTGCAGCCAACAAAGCTCGGCTGAGTCACCACGATAGACAGGACCGACCACCAGTTTAAGGTAGTTGCTACAGTGGGGATAGATCCACTGACATTATCTATAAATAATTTTTTCTTTTGGTAATATATTGATAAAAATTTATTCATCATCAACTGTTTCATCGCTCCTTTTGATTGATTATATTCGAATAATTTCGTATGTAAGAAGTAATATCATCTTAGTCAAATATTTTTTGATCAAAGTTTCAGTGCAAATTTTTCTGTCGTTACTTAGTAACTGTTCAGTCTTGTAAAAATCGTTCACTTATGATTTCACTATCGGTTCATTGTGAACAACTTGTGATTTTGATTATTTTTGGTCAATTTTACTATTTTATCAGTCAGTTTTTTATACCATAAACATAAAATGACTATGCTATGGTATTCGCTTACAGGGTAGATATCCGCATTTTAAAAGACTGAACTTTGAAAAATCTCATTAAGTGTATTTAAGAGTTCACATGATCAACTAAGTTAATCTAATTTCCCAAGTTAACAAATAATTAATTAAGAATAATTATGATCTTTCAATTGATAGATCCAACTGAGAGAAGAAACGAAACACCACAAAAATCATCCACCTAAGTTATAAATTTTCTCGACCATCTTAATAGTAAAAATCCCTAAATCAATGATTTTTATTATCAGCGGCGATGCTTTTATCTAACCTCTTTCGTCTTAACTTAATTACTTGAAATTTATTAAGAAAATCTTACAAAATCTACACATATGTATGTAAGCATGCATTTATAATATCTGTATAATGAAAATTTAACTGAAATTTAATTATAAAAATTTTACATTGAATTAATTGTAAGAATAATTAACAACTTATTAATATTAGTGGGTTATTTTGTCTAGATGGATTATTCACTATTGTCTAATTTAAGAAATGTTTTATTGTGTTTGCATTTTTTTTTTACTATTTATAATAACAACATAATCAAATAATTTCTTGACTATTTGACAGGATTAGTAAGACGTGAGTAATAGAGGATGATTACTATGGTCACATGAATTATCATATGATGATAAATGAGTTCATGTCTCGATAATTAGTTTTATAACAATTATTATTGCCTGATTGTAATATGATTTTCTCATTTGTTATTCATCCAGATTATGTTTACATTTTTTTTTTAGAAGGTTACAGATATCTGATTTATTTTTTTCTCCTCTTCATTTGTCATTAATACACGTTCGCACTGCTACTTTGAGAAAAAAAAAAGATTATGACAAACGATATATACTTGACTGTTATGTTTATTTTATGTGAAATGAATTGCACTACATTACTTGATTTACATTATAAGAGGTTTTGTGGAAATTTTCGAATTTCCTCGGTTTAAATCATAAACATTGATGAAAATCTTAAAGGATAGGACATCCGTTGCGTTTTAGTATAGAACTCGCCTGAAGCATCCGTTTATGACCTTGTATCCGAGGATCAAACTAAGGACTTTCCGTCTTGTGCAGAAACACTTAGTTTTCGGACCATTTGACCTACAATAACACCGTTGGGTGCGAACTCTGTGGCTTTAGCCACAATAAGTTAGAGATTTAAATTATGAAAATTCTACAATCTCTATAAATCTCCATTTACTTGTCTTAATTATGTAATAACTATTGACTAGTTTCAAGATGCAACTTCAAGAGTTCCAGTGAGAAGCTGTGACCAGTGATCATAACATATGTCACGTGGTTATCTACTATACACAGTGGGTAAATGTTGCACAATGTCGTGTTATATATCTTCGAAGCATTGCTCATATATCCTGAGGCAACCGAGTAAGCAATGCTGTCGTTAGGAAACAAGTACAAGATAAGGATAGCAGATCAATAGACGCAGTAGTGAAACTCGATCAGTTGAGGTGGTTGGGACATGTATTACGAATGTCCAACCACCGACTACCTCAACGAGCGTTGTTTGGTGGTGCAGTGATAGCTTTGAAGAAAGTTACGGGCGGCCAAACCAAAAGATAGCAGAAATCCATGAAATCACTGACAAGTGAACTGAGTCATGTTGGTAGATGTAGGCTACCTGGTTGGTGTCTGCGAGACGGAAGTCACCGATGGTTAGAGACCTTGAACGGCATGGCTCGGAATCGTTTGCGATAGCGCAGGTGCATTCATTCATTGTGTTCTCTCAAATTCTAACCTTCTGAATTCTTCATCTCCTCTATCTTTCTGTTTCTAAATTTGTCTCACTGAATTATACTTCTCGAATCGTATCTTCGAACCCTAATCTCGCAGATAACTGCTAATACTTCTACTATCGCTACTACTATTGAATTTGAACTGATAGTTGCGTCTCTGTGCTGATGCGGTCCGGTAACCTGAACTGATGTACTTACGTACGAAGTTCTACGTTGTAACTGACTGAATGTCGTGAATTTATTTATTTATTCATAATTCTAATTGACAACCATTATTACACTTAATTCAATCGCTTACATTTTGATTACATATAAACATATTTACTAAAAGTACATACTTTTCTTTTTCAATCTTTTCTTATGAAAATACTCATCATAATAATACTACTACTAATATTAATAATATAAAAATGAAATTTCACTATGGATAGATTCATCAACATATCACTCATTCAATGGAATTAATACCAAATCAAACAAAATCAATAATGACTCTCTCTATGATGAATGATGAAATTACACGTTTACATGGTTCAATTATTGTTTATTCGAGTATATCCACTTTTCATATACCATATGATATATTTTCTGGTCGACTTCATGTGAGTTTACACTATTTGTTTACTTTTAAATGAAGATTGTTATAAGCATGATTATTATTACTATTAGTATTATTATTGTTTTGATTGTTTTCCCTTAATTCTTTTTTTATTTGTCTATGTGTGTACATGACATGTGTAGGGAATTGAGGAGGGCGATTTGTTTGATCATGTTTTTAAAGTGATGATTACAATTCATCTCTGTCACATCAAACATTCACGTTTATCCATATGACTTAAAAGTTGATCAGCATTAGGTTGTGAGAAATTACAGTGAGATATATTCTTGCCAAAAAAGCGCTAACCAGAAAAAATAATTCAAACCATTTTAACTCTGCCCTGGGAGTTGGAGGAAGAATTATGACGTCGCGTGATGAAAGCCGAGTTCCCTCGGAAGTCACGGGGCTGATGCCTCTTCTGACAACCAGAGCAACCATTTTTTTAGGTACATGGAACGTTCGTACATTGTGGGAGACTGGAAGACTATTTCAAGTTGCGGCAGAAATGAAAAGATACAACCTCGAGGTGCTTGGAATCAGTGAAACACATTGGACACAAGTAGGACAACTGAGACTAGCTTCAGGGGAACTGCTGTTATACTCTGGTCATGAAGAGGAAAATGCTTCACATACACAAGGAGTTGCATTGATGCTGTCCAAACATGCACAAAAGGCACTAATAGGATGGGAATCTCATGGACCCAGGATCATTAAAGCATCCTTCAAAACAAAGAAACAGGACATTACAATGAACGTCATCCAATGTTATGCACCTACCAATGACTACAATGACGAAGTTAAAGATCAATTCTACGAAAGGCTGCAGTCAATCGTCGAGAAATGTTCACCAAAGGATTTGACTATTCTTATGGGAGACCTGAATGCCAAGGTTGGAATGGACAACACTGGATATGAAGACATCATGGGACAACATGGACTGGGAGAAAGAAACGAAAACGGTGAGAGATTTGCAAACCTATGTGCCTTCAACAAACTGGTCATCGGTGGCACAATATTCCCGCACAAACACATTCACAAAGCCACATGGATTTCACCGGATCACACTACTCAAAACCAGATTGATCATATCTGTATCAACAAAATGTTCAGAAGGACTATGGAGGATGTGAGAACCAGGAGAGGAGCTGATGTAGCCTCAGATCACCATTTGCTAATCGCCAAAATGAAACTGAAACTAAAGAAGCACTGGACAACGGGACAGACAACATCACACAAGTTTAATACGGCCTTTCTTCGGGATACTGTAAAGCTCAACGAATTCAGGATAGCCCTCACCAATAGGTTCCAGGCCTTTCAGGATCTACACAATGGAGAGGACACAACATTGGAGAACAATTGGAAAGGGATTAAGGAGGCAATCACTTCAACATGTCAGGAGGTCCTTGGTCGCAAGAAGCAGCATCATAAGGAATGGATCTCTGTTGATACTCTCGCAAAAATTGAAGAAAGGAGGATCAAGAAAGCAGCAATCAATGTCAGCCGAACAAGAGCGGAGAAAGTTACTGCACAAGCTGCATATACAGAAGCAAACAGGGAAGTGAAGAAGAGCATCAGAGCTGACAAACGAAAATACGTGGAAGATCTAGCAACGACGGCGGAAAAGGCTGCAAGAGACGGAAACTTGAGACAATTGTATGAAACTACAAAGAAGCTCGCCGGGAACTATCGTAAACCAGAACGACCAGTGAAAAACAAGGAAGGCAAAGTAATCAGCAACACTGAACAACAGCGAAATAGGTGGGTGGAGCACTTTAAGGAACTATTGAATCGACCAGCTCCTCTGAAGACACCCAACATCGAAGCAGCAACCACGGACCTCCCAATTAATATTGGCGCACCTACGATTGAGGAGATCAGTATGGCCATCAGACAAATCAAGAACGGCAAAGCAGCAGGACCAGACAACATTCCAGCAGAGGCAATGAAAGCAGATGTAGAAGCAACCGCGAAAATATTTCACATCCTCTTCAAGAAGATTTGGGATGAGGAACAAGTACCATCAGACTGGAAGGAAGGATACCTGATCAAAATACCAAAGAAAGGCGATCTCAGCAAGTGTGAGAACTACAGAGGCATCACTCTTCTTTCAATACCAGGCAAAGTCTTCAACAGGGTATTGTTAAACAGAATGAAGGACTTCGTAGACGCCCAACTTCGAGATCAACAGGCCGGATTTCGGAAGGATCGATCGTGTACTGACCAAATTGCTACATTACGGATCATTGTGGAACAATCAATTGAATGGAACTCACCACTCTACATCAACTTCATCGACTACGAGAAAGCATTCGATAGCGTGGACAGGAAAACACTGTGGACTCTTCTTCGACACTACGGGGTGCCTGAGAAAATAGTTAACATCATACGGAACTCTTATGATGGATTCAACTGCAAAATCGTGCACGGAGGAAAGCTAACCGACTCTTTCGAGGTAAAGACCGGTGTGAGGCAAGGTTGCTTACTCTCACCCTTTCTCTTTCTCCTGGTCATCGACTGGATTATGAAAACGTCAACAGCTGGAGGGAAGCACGGTATCAACTGGACAGTTAGGACGCAGCTGGACGATCTGGACTTCGCAGATGATCTGGCTCTTCTATCGCACACTCAACAACAAATGCAAGAGAAGACGACGAGTGTAGCAGCAGCCTCTGCAGCAGTAGGTCTCAACATACATAAAGGAAAGAGCAAAATTCTCCGATGCAACACAACATGCACCAATCAAATCACTCTTGATGGAGATGCCTTGGAGGACATTAACACCTTTACATATCTGGGCAGCATCATCGACAATCAAGGTGGATCCGATGCAGATGTGAGGGCACGGATTGGCAAAGCAAGGGCTGCATTTCTACAGTTGAAAAATATCTGGAACTCCAAACAGATATCAATCAACACCAAACTAAGGATTTTCAATACAAATGTGAAGACAGTTCTACTGTATGGAGCGGAAACATGGAGAACTACCAAAGCCATCATCCAGATGATACAAGTGTTTATTAACAGCTGTCTACGTAAAATACTTCGTATTCGTTGGCCAGACACCATCAGCAACAACGAACTGTGGGAGAGAACAAGTCAGATTCCAGTGGAGGAGGAAATCAGGAAGAAGCGTTGGAAGTGGATAGGACACACTCTACGAAAAGCACCTAACTGCGTCACGAGACAAGCCCTCACATGGAACCCTCAAGGCAAAAGGAAAAGAGGAAGGCCAAAGAATACATTACGCCGTGAAATAGAGAAAGATATGAGAGGAATGAACAAACATTGGACAGAACTGGAGAGGGAAGCCCAGGACAGAGTTGGTTGGAGAAAACTGGTGGGCGGCCTATGCTCCATTTGGGGTAACAGGCGAAAGTAAGTAAGTAAGTAATATTCTGTAAGGGAGAAGCAATCAATCGGATTAATTTACTTACTTCTTATTGTGTGTGTGTTTGTTTGTGTATAAAATATGAATAACAGTATACGTGTTACAGTATTAAACATCTTTATTTATAACTGATTTGATTGCTGCAGGCCATGCACTGTTAATAGCCTTCAGACAAACAGTATAATTGATAACCGACTACATGGACATGTACTTCGTATGTGAGTTGTTCCATCACACTATATTGAGAGTAATAAATGTCACATCATTATAATAATATTACAAATTAATTTCACCCCGTTGTTGTTACAAATATCACGTATACACGCATATACATCACGTCTGACCTAAATAACATGATGATAGTAGCATAATCAAACATTTAATTTTACTAAGTAGTTTTTGATTTATTTCTCTATTTTATGTAAACTTAATTCAATTGTTTATTATTTTTTTTTCCGAAGAAGCGACTTTGTCACAAAACGTCAACATTTCAAATTTTTATATACGCTCTAGAATCTAACAAATAAATCATCATAATTAGTTGAATTCACGTTTGAATGACAAAAAAAAAGATCCCATTTCACTTGTTTCAAATCAAACAACTTTACTGAAAATCTATTAGTCTAAATAACGTTGTCATCAGATTGATCTAGTATCAATATATATAGTATTTCAACTCGTTTTTTAGAATTTTCACACCGTTTTTTGAGATGTTTTTTAAAAAAATAAAAAGAATACTATTTTTTAATTAAAGACTTCTTTAGCAATCGCTTTTAAACAATTCGACGTATATGCCTCGAATAACCTTGTATAAATCATTTGTGGTTAATTGATTTACAGAATTATATGATTTGTAAATGATTCACTAAATCCGCTTGCCAATGATCTTCTTACAATGGATTTACTTTTTTAGAATGCAAATTCAACTGGATTGGGCATATAACTATAAGGCGATAAAAACATAACCTTTTACTCCCTTTTCATCAAAAAAAAGTTTTGGTAATATTAGAGTGATGGATCTTTGCATTACCGAGGATAAAAATGCAATTCTTAAAAATAGATTTTTGATTGCATTTTTCAATCAATTGATCAAAAAAATGAATGAACTTATCGGAGTTCACTGAACCGAAAAAAAATGTTTGAGCGAAAAGAAGATCATTTTCTGTGATTGCGGATATTATCAAACTTACATTAGTTCCACGTGTTGGTGGAACCATGGCACTTGCTGGTTTTCCTCTTGTATATAGATCTTCCCAAAGTTCTCAAATATAAATCAAAGGATGATTCATCAATAAAAACTTTTATGAAGGCGTCTTCGATATGCATACAATCTTAGGCATATATCTGTCGTTTAATTTGACTTGATTCTGAGTTGATGTTAATCAATGTATAAGGACATTTTAAGGATTATAAAAAATTTTAAAAAATGCTGAGAAAATTTTAAAAAACGAGTTGAAATACTATATTTTGAAGAAAGAAAGTGTTATACGTTAATTAGTCATCCGGCATGCGCATGCTTTGCCAACTAAATTTTAAGTAACTTTTAATTGTATATGTATGGTCTGTCATGGTTGACTGTAAGGCGATTCAGCTCTCACTCTCAACTCTCACTCAAA